CATAGCATCTATTACTTGACCATAATTCAATAAACATAGAAGAGACCATTGTTTCAATTGTATCATTTATTGCAAAACGAGTGAATGATAAATTGAAAATGTTTGAAGTAATTTGATCAAACCATTGGTCTTCAAGAGGTGGTATGCTTGATAATTTTCTGTATTGAAGAACACATGTTTTTGAATAAAAACAAAATAATGATGAATGAAGAATTGCTTCAACTATTGTACAATCATACACAACACCTTCAGGCGAGTTAACATATACTTGACTTTTCAAATCATAGATAATAACTGGCATTGAGCAGGATCGTTCAGTTGCACATGAACATGTTGTATTTGTATTTGTTAAATTATATATAACAGGATTAATAACAAATGAAATATTATCATTTGCAAGAAAAATATTCCAATTTGAAGGAAAAATTGAAATCAAAGCATTATTATGATTAATTGCCCGAATAAGTTCAAATGTTTGATTAAATCTAATTGGTAATTCATTTTGAAAATGATTTATAGTTATATTAATTTGTTGATTAAAAATATTTCGAGGTATTATCTGATAAGTCAACATTGTTGATGAAAGAAATATTTCAATATTATTCTCGATATAATTCTTCGATAAATCGCAAAGAGTATTGAGACCATATAAAAATGAATATCTCCAAGAATCAAATTTCAATCCATTAGGATCAGTTTTACTTCCTGGAAGTCGACCTATTTGTATCATATTTCCCAGTAATGAACTTGTACATACTTGATGGAATGACGTTACATTAAGTTTAGTGACAATTTTTTCATAAGGTATAGCTATTTGTGTACATGGACAATTAACATTATCTAAATAAAGTTCTAAAAGTTGTTCATAATCTGTTATATTTGGATTGATTGTTATTATTGTACGAGTACGTTCGATAATTGATTTGTAGAAAACTAAAATTGCTAATGAAATAATAAAAAGAATGATATAAACACGTGTATAGATTAATTGTAATTGTAAACTAATTGAATCTTTCTTATCAGATTGAAATAAATTAAAATATTGAATACATTTCAATAAATGTTTAAATCGTTGAGAAATTGTAATTTGTATTATTGTTCGATTAAAACTTATAAACTTACGGGAATAAAATAAAATCAATTGACTTAATAAAGGTATTAATAAATAAAGAATTCTATTAAGTCCTTGACTAATAGATATTAAAAGAAGAACAAGAATAGAAATTTGTCGTCGTTGAAGAATTTTATACGAACAAGATTGTGGTGCACATTGATTGTAAAAAATACTAAAATTTCCATTCATTGTCACAATTGTTTCAATAAACATATTTGTTATTAAATATTCCATATTATTTCCATGAAATGATGAATTGATTGATTGATCAAGTGATGTTACAATTGATGAAAATAAATTTGGAATAATTGTTGCATAAGTATTTTGAATATCATTAATATAACTTTGATTATACCACCAATTAATTGTTGAACCTATAAAACCATTCCAAGGTAAACAACCATATGGAATTTCTTTGAAATAATATGCATCATCGATAGTATTTGATTGATTTTTAAAGAGAATGAGTCCAATTGGACAACTATTTCTCATTGTTGAGCATGAACACACACCCGCTCCTCTTATTCTATTATTTTGAACAACCACAGCCTCACTTAAAGATTGATCTCTTAATATGATTTGATTATTTTTTATATAACCATCAAAATTTGATTTGGTACCTGTTATAAAGAGATTAATTGTATTAATTACTTTAATCCATTGATAAATTTCAATAAAACTATTTTGAGTAGTACGAATAAATATATTCATGAGATTGATTGTTTTTTTATAGAATATATCTGAAGAAAGAAGATTATTATTGATAAATTCAGTTGTCAGAAAAGTTTGTTGACTATTTTCAATGGTAAGATTTGTTAATTTACAGAATATTTGAATAAATTTAAAATAAGAAGAAGCAAAAATGCGAAAATCTTTTACTAAAGGTTTAATAATCCATTCAGATATATTTATTGGATTAAGTAATGATAAATAATTAATCCATTCCGTTGAAATAAGTTTACTTGAACAAATTTGATGAAGAACAAAATTAACATTAAGAAATATTCCATATGGAATAGAGATTTGTGAACATGAACAAATAAGTGTTGAATTGAATTTTTCATTTAAGATTTCATATTCTTTTTCTGTTGGTTGAAAAATTCTTATTATTTGTTCTTCTTTTGATATAATTATTACAATACTAATTATAATAAAACAAATAAGAAAAAATAAAAGAAATATTCGAGTTGTAAAACGTTGTTCGTATAGATATTTTTCATCTGTTATTCGTTCATTTTCAAATAAGTTTATATTAATTACTTTTTCATATATAGATCGACGTAAATTAATAATTATTTCTTTCATTTTAATATTACTTTTTCTTTTTATTCTGTTATTTCCTTTAAAACGTAAAATAATCATCACTATTAATTCTGAAATAAATGGTAAAATAAATGATAATATACCAAAACTACTAATCAATGTTGTAATAATAAATATAAGATCAAAACGATGAGAATATGAATATGAACAAAATAATGGTTTACATTGATTATAAAATAAATTAAAATCCATATTAATTATTAAATTATCAATCATTAGTTTTTGTAAAAGTAATTGAACAGTTGAATTAAATAAAAATTGTTTATTTTTATTATTTAAAAGTAATTTCATGGATGATATAAATGGATGTAAAAGAGAAAAACATGTTTGATTATAATAACATTCTAAAGTTGATACTAATGTTCCATCAACTAAATAACAATCGAGAATTATTCCTGGAATGATTGTTTCATTTATCATTAAAGGATAAGGACAACCAAGCATTTTCATACATGAACAATTATTTAATTCTTTTGATGACATTCGAATAGAATTATTTTCATTCGAAGAAATGAAATTAAAATTTTTGGTTAAACCTGAAACATATTGATTACCACCGATGGTTCGTTGAATTACTAATAAATTTTGAATAAGTTTTGTTCGAATTGATTGAATGTAAACATTTAGATCTGAATATACTTGACTTTCAATAATATCCTTTGAAACAACTATGGGAGTAACTATAAATGATGAATTAAAATTAATTATTGCTGCTTTTAATGATTCTTTACTAATTGTACAAAAATCTGCAATTATTTGCCAGAAAAAACTTAATATTTGATCAGTATTTTCAGAATTGTTTTGAGCAAAAACAAATTCAATCCATGATTTTGTAATAAATTCACTGGAACATACTTGATGAAATTCAACATCAATTGTAACAAATGTTGAATATGTAACTCCAACTTTTGAACAAGGACAATTTAATGTTTTAGAATATTTGTTTAAAAGATATTGAAATTTTGTTACATCTGGTGAATTTTCCGTTTTATTCACTGTATAAACAATTAATGATGAAATAATACCAATAAGAATTAATAAACAAAGAAAGAAAATAAGAAAAATACGTGTAGTTAATAATTCTTTGATAAGAGTTTGTTCATTACTTGAAGATTTTTTAAAAAGATTTAATTTTAATATCCATTCTTTTAAACGAACAAGAAATCCTCGTATCATCATCAAATACATATAAAGTATTATGTCAACAACTAAAAAATTATTTTTTTCTACTATTTTACGTCCTTGAAAGAAAAAAAAACTTAGATTATTTATAGAATACTTTCAGATCGTCACTTTTCGTAATAACGTGAACATTTGGTTAGCAAAGATCTCTTACGATATATGCCATCTGGAGTATTACTCGAAACATTTTTACTAATATCACTAGTCATTTTCTTAGAATTGAAAGAAAATGATATTATACTTTCTGATATTACCATATTTGGAAAGTCCGTGCAATTTATGTATTATAAAGCAATATGATATTGTTAGTGTGGCTCTCCTCGTGAGAGTGACTTTTATTCTCCCCTCTATATCAAGCGAAACACGAATAGATACATACGAGAGAAAAAGAGAGAATCGGGAGAACAAAAGGCGTTAACATTCGCCCCTCCATCCAGTGGAACGTGTGTCCACACACTGTCACATACGAACCAAAAAAACAATTGCCGAGACTCACAAAAAAATATAACGATTCAGGAAAACGAGAAAGATATGTTTGTTTTCGATTGTGCCGGGTTGCGATGTCGATATTCTTGTATCGGTTTTCGTTGTTCATTGTCGATGTTCAATCGTTCTGTTCATATTTAATTTTCGTTGTTGTTTTCCTTCGACGTAAATACTTTGTGTTCGACTGTTTCATTTGACGAGATGTTGTCGTATCATCACGTGATGTTTTCAGTTCGAGTCGTGTCCTCATATAAAGATCGGTCGATGTTGATTTGAATGTGTGTGTGCGGCGACTAATGATTCTATCATTGGCTCTGTTTCGGTCGACGAACTAATGATTATGGTGTTCAGTGGTTCTGGTAGTTGTCGCTGTTGAGTGAGTTTGCTTTCTAATTAATTTTTTTTTCTTTTTTTTTGTGTGTTCTTTCTTTCTTAATTCTGTTTCCAACGTTTGTAATATTGACTGTGTGTGAAGTAGCTGATCGGGACTTTCTTTTTCCCGTCTTCTCTCAGCTCGTCCGATTTGAAGTTGATTGTCACTTCGGATTTTGCTTCATTGATTCGGATCTGGTGCGTGTGACGGACTTCGTCTTCTTGCAGCTGCGCCCTGATTTTTCGATAATCATACCGATAATAGATGGGTCGTATGATTCGATGTACAGAGTCAGGACGAGTGCGTTTCTTCTCTTTGTATTTTTCGTTTTTTCGTCGTTGAATTTCTTTCTTTCGTTGACGTTCTTCTTCTTCTGTTCGTTTCGGTTTAGGTGTTCGTTCCGGTTGCTGTTCTGGGTTGGTTTCGAGTTCGACATCTGGTTCTATTTCAAGTTCCATTGCCGGTTCCTGTTGTCGATTCGCTTGAACTGGGTGATATTTGACTTTGGTTTGTGATAAGTATAATTCTATTTCGTCGTCACTGATATCCGAAAGATCGTCTTGATAACACTGATTCGACGGTGTGATTTTCGGAGTTGGATCGGGATATATTGTTTTTGTTGCTGTTTGTTGTCGATGGCTGGTTTGGTTCTTTCGTTCCGGATACATCACTCGGTAGATTTCAGTAACTGCCGTGCAATCATGTACGGTGTAATTGATTAAATTGACCCGAGTTTGTCTTTCCACTTGCATATCGTAATGTTTCTTTTGAAATAGTTTTTGTTGCCATGTATCCAATGCCAAGTCCAATCCATAACTCCATGGGTATCGTGTAAATGCTTTGTCGAGGAATCTTTGTAATGTCATTTCAACCGCTGCTTGTAATGAATATTTAGTCTTCTTCGTATCTTTATAATCCCCATCATCATCGTCATCATAAAAATCATTGTCACCAGGAGTGTCGAATGATACTTCTGTTGTTTCACGACTTTCCGTTTTCGGATGCGTGACTTCTTCATCTTCTCGGTCCTGAAATAAAGCTTGTAAGTTCCTGCGTCTCATCTTACCTATTTTCATCTATTCGAATCGATGAAATTCCTTCAATTCGTTGTTCACCGATCTCCACGTAATTATTTCATTGTCCGAATTGAAAATGATTGACCATAGATGCTTGATTCTGTCGATTAGATGTGACTTTGCATCCGGAAAGTAGAAGGTCTCCAGTAAGATCACCGTTGAATCGTCACTTGAATGTACCATTTCAATTTGTATTAATGCACCTGTGTTTCCACCTTCCTCCGATTGAGATTCGGTGTCGATGGTGTATCTTTTCGTTGTTGCGGCTCGACATATCAATTGTTCGATGGTGTCAATGGGTGTGGATGATGTTGATGTTGTGTGTTGGGCGATATTGAGACTATTGCACTCGTAATCGCTCGTTTTTCTCGAACTTTTTCGCGTTTCTTCTTCGGTTCCGCAATTGTTTTCCTGTTGGTGCTGGCCTTGTGTTTTGTTTGAACGAATCGAGGTTGTATGTGTGTCTAGACATGAGGTTTCTCGAAAATGAACTAGTAATCGATCAGAGATTAAATTTTCTTTCTTCTTTCACTTTGAAGATTCCATGTTTTCGTTTTTCGCTCCTTTCCATTTCTCCGTTTTCCTTTTTATCTTTCCTTTCCTGTCGCACTTATATAGAGCCGCATATTCGCCTACACGTATAGATATAAGTGGGATCCTTGGATGTTATCGACGTATATTTTCTTGCGTGTTCTGTGATGTGGTGAATTCGACTGTGTCGTGTTATTGCCGGACGTTTCCTAGTAACATTGACCACGTCCACATGAGTCATTCGTCGTATCACGCAGTCTGCGCATGGCTGTCGTGATATATCGATGTGATATACATATGAATAAAAGAAAAAGTGTCGTTCGTCTCCATGTGATTAATATACACTTGTTTGATAGCCCCATCTTGTCGGTGAGAAGGGGAAATCCGTCTCCCCAACATGAAATTCTAGATCAAAAGAATGTATTTGTGTCAGATAGTTACGAATGAACATTTTTATTTGGTCAGTCACTATTGCAGTCAAATTCACAGCTTTTCCTAGTGGGATGCGTGTTTACTAATATAAATTTCATCGTTCGACTAACGAAACGATGACATCCATTGCAACTTGTTTTGTTGACGTCGTTTTCTTGACATGCTGGACAATGAACGTTTTTCTTCCTAATTGCTTCGTAATTTTAAATGGACCTTCATATCGAATGTCGAATTTGTTCCGCGTGCTTCTCGTTTTAATCAGAACTAAATCGTTAATCTTCAATGATAATTCTTGTCGATGTTGATCATATCGAATTTTGTATTGTTGTTGCGCGTGCTGAATGTTCTTCCGTGCTTCGTCCACTAATTTTTCGAGATAATTTTGAAGTTTCTTTCCGTGTTCGACGTCTTGTGTGAGTGTGATAAGTGCTTGTTGTTGCATGGATCGAGGTGTTGTAGTTGAATGTGACGAATTGTAACATTTCGTCCCAATCGGTGCGTCTTTCGTCGCATAGGCTTGCTATTTTCCCATCCATGGTTGCGTTGAATCTTTCTAACCCCTGCTGCAAAAGTCTTCGTACATAACGGTTATATATGTGTCACATGTTAGCATAACCGTTTTTTTCTTTCTCTATATATCACGTGATAAAGTGTCAAAAGAACTTCCTTTTTATATAAAATAAGTCATTTGATTCTTGCTCTAAATTAAAATGACACGGTCAGAAAGAGAATGTCTTGCGAAACGCATTGTACAACACTATGTGAACATTGCAAATCGTCGAAAGAAAATTATTGTAAATCACTTTTTACAAGAAAAAATACCACGTCAAAGTATATATGATACCATCAAAAAGTTCGAAGAATTTGGTGCTGTTGGTGACCGATCAAGGACTGGTCGTCCGAAGAAATTATCAAAACAAGAACTAACTCGATTAAAACGCTTGTTTGATCATAAGGCTTGCATTTCATTACGTCAAGTTGTTCCAGACTTTGATGTGCATATTATAACAATTAGTCGAAATTTGAAAGCTATGGGTATAACGTATCGAAAAAAAAACGGGCTCCTAAATATACCGACAAACAACTTGAAGAAGTTCCAACACGTGCACGCCGGTTATACCTAACATTGTTCAATGGTAATGTTGAATTGGTGATGGATGATGAAAAATATTTTCTGTTACATAATGAATCAATATCTGCTAATCGTGGTTTGTATATATCTGATTCAAATGCTACACCACCAGCAGTGAAATTCAAACGAACACAAGAACTCGAACCAAAAATTTTCGTATGGATTGCAATATCCCAAAATGGCATTTCGATGCCATTCTTCAAAGAACACCAACAAGCTGTTACTCAAATGACTTATCTGAATGAATGTATTAAACGCCGTTTAATGCCGTTTATCGAAGAATATCATCATAAACGAAAAGTGTTATTCTGACCTGATTTGGCGAGCAGTTATTATGGTCGTAAAGTGATGGAATATTTAAACGAAAATGGTATTACTGTTTTACCTCAAGAAAAGAATCCACAGAACTGTCCTCAAGCTCGACCTGTTGAGACGTTTTGGTCAATTCTTGAAAAAATGGTCTACAGCGATGGCTGGGAAGCAAAAAATATCGATCAATTGAAAAGAAGAATAAAAAAGTAAAAGAAGTTGATATTAAAATTGTACAAACTATGTTTTTGGACATACCAAAACAAGTTCGACGAATCGCTGATAAAGGACCTTACGAAGCTTGTTCTTTCTGATTTTTTGCACATCAGGACTAGTACTTTTCTTTCATACGAAAAACAGAAATTGAAAATTTTTTGTTTGAAATAAACGAACGAAATAGATTTGTACGAAGACTTTTGCAACAGAGGTTATCTTGCTATATATAATTAGCAGATTGACGAATAAAAGTATATTGACAAAAAGAAAAAAAATGGCAAGGGAGAAAATCAGTTGAGTTACACACTATATGTATATAGATAGATAATTAGTTTTTCAACATGATTAATTATATTCAAATTGAACAACTATTTTTCACAAATAAGTATTTATAACTTCATTAGAATCAATGTCCATTGCCACTCGATTTTCTCCAACTAAACGAATAAATATTTCTTCAAGTGTTGGCCCTTTTATTGCAAAAGTATGAATTAATTGCTGTTTCTTTTTCTTATAAAACCATCGAAATATGAGCGACAACTTTATACGATTCTCATTCGTTGTAAGAAATGGTATTGTACAAAATAATGTTCCATTATATCGTTCTATAAAATGAAAGGTTTTCATATTTGAAAGTAACAATATCTTATTCAATACTTTGAATTTCAGTTCGAGGAAAAGTAAATAATAAGTCTTCTATAAATCTTTCAATTGAATCAAACGACAACTGAACTTGTATAAGGTATCCATTTCCAAAACGTTGTTTTAATTTTTGTAAATTTCCCAAACACATTAATTGTCCTGATTTCATAATTCCAATTTCTAAAATTGAATAATTTCTTTTCCATTTATTAATTATATCAAAAACAAACAAACTTGTACATAATGCTTCGCATTCTTCCATACTATATTGATAAATTTTAATTTAAAATAAAAACTCATTTCTATGTACTCAAAGTAAACCTTTTACCTATGACTTGTTAAAATAACAGTTCTATTAAGATAATGTGCTGCTCGAATAATATTCCATAATTTTCGCTTCGCAAATGCATCTAAACCCTAAAGTAGCACAAAACAAATTATTTAAATTTATCATTAACATTTCTTACCGTAGTTGGTTCATCTAAAAGTACAATCATTGATTTACCCATGAATGCTAACAGTGTACTAACTTTTCGTTTATTTCCACCACTATGGACATCATTACAAAATCTATTAATATATCTTTGGAAGAACATACCTAAGTTCTTGTATTTGTTTATTTGTATATAAATCAAGATCAAACATTTTTAACATATGACTACATAATTGAGATATCTCTGTCCATTTGAATCCTTTTAATCTAAATATAATATTGGACATAAATATGTCAAGGTTTTATGCATGAATATACCTTGCAAATAAAACTATTGTTTCAATAACAGTTAAATTATTTATAAGCCAATTAAATTGTGGGCAATAACCAATATCAATATTTTCTTTCTAGAATAAAAAAATTGAAAATAGTGAAACAGCGAATTCTCTTCAATATTTAACTATTCTATTAATATTTTCCCCATTGATAAATATATCCCCAGACACAGGTGTCGATTCGCCAATTAACATTCGAAATAATGTTGTTTTACCAGCACCATTTGCTCCTTTAAGCAAAATTATTTAAAAAAAAATGAAAATAAAAGCTATATTTATATAATATACCTAATAAACCAAAACATGATTGTTTTGGAACATAAAAATTCAAATGATCAATAATTGTGCAAGATTGTCGATGTATTGATTTTTCTTTTCGTTTTTTAAATTCTTGTACAAGGTCACGAACAAAGATAGTTGATGCATTCAATACAATATTGTTATTTATGATTAATTCACGTTCATTTCGTACGTCTTCATCTAAATTCTATAAAAAGAAATCCTCAAAATTAAATTAAATTTGACATTCTCTCTTTCATATACAGAAGATCATTATTTACAAGAGGAAAACAACAGACTAGACTCTTGGAATCAAGGTGGAGTTGTGCAATGAAGAAGTTTGGTGTTTCTTCTTTGGTAATTTGACACTGATAAAAATAAGTACGCTCTAGCAATTCTCATTTTACCGATGGAGCTGGCCACAAATTTCGTCAGCGAAAATCTTATCAGATTTGTTCAAAGGAGAAACAGTACACTGCGTGATTGCACAACTCCATTCGACTCTAAGTTGACTCCATGCTTTAACTTTGCCTATCACTGAGTTCACTGTTAACGCTAACACGACTCTAAGAGTCTGGAGTCTGTTAGTTTCTCACTTCGATTCGTCAAAACTGATTTACAAACTATTTAGCCTAAATATTCAGTAATACGCACTGTTTATGTCAGAGATGTTCGTCATGGTAGCAGCAGTGCAAAGACGCACATCTCTGGTTTATACATGGTTAGTGAGAGTAAACTAGTTATATGAAGTGAGAATACGTTTGTGCCATTTGTTATCGATCAATATGGCTCGTTTTTCGCCGTAAAGACTACGTTTTAAATGCCCAGGAAGCCAAAAAACTGACTGAAATATTCTCAGATAAGCTTCAATTGACAAGATAATACTCGTCTTAGGATAGGAACTCGCGCAACTTTCTCGTATAAAAATCACGCTCTCTGCTTCGCAAAAAAAAAGCTAGCACACGATTTGTGCTTCTTAACTCACTCAATTTATCTCTACTTGACATGAAGAGAATTAAAATAGTGAATCATTATATTTTACATACTGTATTATTCCATTGGTTTGATTTTGTTATCCCTGTTTCCTTGTTCTTCCAATATTTATGATAAATTCCTTTGAATAAAATTCGGTTTTCAATTAAAATCAAAATAAAGTACCAAAATATAATTTGACAAGAAAAAATAATAAATAAAATTCCAATGCCTGGCTCGTGAATTGACATCCATGAATTGTCTAAAGAATAATTAGTAAACATCACTGAACTATATACGGAAGTACAATATTTATCTGATTTTAAACGAATATTATATAATGAACGCTTGAAATTTACACATGGAAAAAGTACTGCTATAACCCAAGTCATTTGATTCATAATGTTTGATAAATTAATTATATTTGTAGCATTTTTTACTTGTATTTGTTTAACTACTGAAAGCAAATGAAAAGTCATATCAGCCAAACAAGCCAATATGTTTATAATAAAAAATGTAGTAAAACCAACAAACTCAGATTTTTGAATAAATGAATAAACATAAATCATTGGTATTGAAGCTAGGGAAAACATTAAAATTATTAAAAAATAATATCCAATTTGTTCAATATTTCTATAAATCTGGACTTCAGATTGAGGATTTGAATTAATTATTGAACCAATCTAAGAAAAGATATGACAAAATTAATACCAATTTCATTTTCTTTACCTTAAGAATAATTGTTAAAAGACTTGAAAGTATAAGACATAAACATGTATCAAATATTATATTGGAGAACCAATAAAGTTTTTTAGGTAAATTTGTTAACAATTGCAAATCTTTCGAATGATTTAAACGTTCTTGTGCTATGGGTAAAATAAGAATTCCAATAAATACAATTCCAATAATACTATCAATAAAATTAAATAATGATAATGGTAAAACATCGAAATAATACAAAATATCAAAGAAATCTCTGATTTATTTGCTACTCTTTTTTGGTATAATTATTGGTTGATTCATAGTTTCAATTTGTTTTAACATTCAATTTGAATAATACTGAAATAGATTGGATGACATTATATTTAAACTTGTCGGCATAACATGAAAGTTAACTGTTGAGAAATAGATATTATAACTAAAAGGATTTTCTATTAATGTTTCGTTAAAACTTATTGAAAATGACATTTGATATTTATTAATAATAGTCTCTGCGTCACT